AGCTTTTGTAATTATCCACCAATTTCTTAGAATTAAACACTATCTACTGATTTGCATCGAAGCGTTTCTTATGATAGTGATTTTAATCACTGTCAGATTAAATCTATACTGGACCCAACTATGCAACGTCCCCACTATGCCGCGACTCCACTGTGCTGGGTTTTTTTTTTTATATACCATTAAACTAAAAAGAAATGCTCCCATCAAAGAAAATTTAAGTTTAGGTTTTTAACACTGAAGGGAACTGATAAATATGAAATATAATTATAAAAATTAAGAACACGAGTTTTAAATTTGATAAACCAAGATATTTTTTTTGTATGTTATCTATAAGTAATAATATCAAAAAAGAGATCATAGATAATATCTAGTTTCAGATTTTAAATCAGAGTAAAAATTTGGTTTAGTATATATTGATCTATGATCACTAAAAAGTGTTTCATTATAGTAATATCATTTTACTGTGTAATTCAGTATAAAAATTAATTTTACACTCCTATTGTTTCTGGAGATATTTAATTAAAAAAAGTTTTTTCTGAAGTTGCCAATTTTACACTAACGTAATTTAAACTATTCGCCTAATTTTTAAAATTAAAGAGTTTTTATCCAATATATGAGAATTGTAAAATTTATGGACAGACATAAAAGATATTTTGAAAAAGTTAATTTTTTGTGGAAAAATTGCCATTTTGTGTAAAACTTGCGATTTTGATTGTGGGCAAGTATTGGTCAATTTTCCAAAAATATATATCAAATAATAGATAAATACTTATAGTGTCTTTCATATATTTTTAAAAATATTTTGGCAGTTTTAAACAAAAAAGTTTTAAAAATGTCAAAATTTATAGATTTTTTAAATTATAATTTTTTTAGTGATTACCAAATCACTCATTTCCCGTAAATGGTACATTTACGGGGAATAAGAGATTTTTTTCAATTTTTGAAGGTAATATCTTCAACTAGTTACGATTTTTAATATTTTACGTATCCTTGGATAAAACCGGTTCAGTGAGGGTTGAGAAAAAATGGTAACAGACACAAAAAAAAAAAAAAATAATAATACAAAATAAACACATCATTGTCAAATTAATACCTTCTCAGCTTCGTTTCGCAGCTGAAACATTTACTTATAAACAGAATTAAGAAAACAGTTCTTAGACACTAAAATTTGTTTATAACAAAAATTACTCTGTAGGACGACTTTTCCCATAGTATCGATGCTCCAATTGAAAACATAAAGCATTAAATTCTTTTGCATAATCTATCCATGCTCCCGTAGTCATCCATAACGATGATATAGCATTTTCTCCTCCAATCATTAAAAATATCGGCCCATCTTCTTTATGATATTGAGAGTTAACTTGATATTTCTAAATCAAATAAAAATAACTGTAATAATATGATGATATACAGAGTGATTTTTTTTTTTGCTATAGCCACTTAATTTCTCTTAAAATAATAATTTCTTTGCGATTTGATTTTTACATTTGTTAGTTATTCATATATTTTATGTTCATCTTATGTCTTATAAGAGTGTCAACTATTTCAATTTTTTAAATAGCAGAATACATACTTAACTAGCTTATAAAATAGAAAATTATGTAATTAAGAAAATGACTAGTCAATTTTTTTACTTATAGGAGGAAGGGAAGGCCTCTGAAATCATTTAGATTTCTCTAAATGTCTAGTGATAAAAATAGCATACCGTGCTTTACCTCCAGTCAACACTTTCAATTATTATTAATAACTTCTGAAATGCTGATCTAAAAATTGTTATTGTCCAGTCATTTTCTTAATAACTACATTTTATATTTTATAAGCTAGTTAATTATGTATATTGTTGTTTAAAAAAATAAAATGGACACCCCTATAAGACACAAGGGATGAACATAAAAAATATTTTATAATAGATAAAAGAAGATATGTAATCAACAAAAATTAACCTGTTTCCACGTCCTTTTATCAGTAGGATTGAAATGATCTAGTTTTTGTATAAACCATCTGTTTGTGTATGGAACAGATCTAGATATTTCCTCTGGAGAATTCGGTTCTCCTAATCCAATCAATAATTTAGTAGATTTAATAGCATTGTTCCAGCCAATGCAATACAAAACACCAAAAAATATAATTTTCATTTCCATTTTACTTGATAAAACATTCAATTGTAAACTAATTTAAAATTATAGAAATTACAATGTGTTATATTTATGATAATTTAATATAAGATTAAAAGTAAAGAACACACCTTAAACAAATTTGTAACAATAACAAAAAAAAAATATTTCATTGAGGTATCGAAAAATGTGTTTTTTTTAAATATTTAATTTTCTGAAAACAATTTTTTACAATTTTAATAATTTTGAAGTACAAAATTTGTAAACAAAATTATATATAAAATAAAATAAGTGAAAAAATCAGACGTTTTAAATAAAAGAGGAGAATACGCCCTAGGCATTCAAATAGGTAGAAGTGATATTGATATTTAGCTGATGAAAACAATTATAATCACTTAGATATTTGATTTATAATTACTTTATTTTATTTATGACAATTAGTGAATATAATTCTAATTTAACGTAAGGTGTTTTATTTAGTATAAATATAGGTGGAGTTAAAAAAAAAAAAAAAGAGGCTAATTTTATTTTTAAGAGAATTTATCCCTCCTAAGTATAATTTTTATACTATGTTACTTTAATTATTAAATTTTCTTAAATTTTTTATAGAGTTAAAATTTTGCCCATGTAAAAAAAATTATTCTTGAAAAAATTAGAAACTAGTGCTGTATTTTCTCTTGAGAGAAAAATTCTACTAAGAAAATTCTTTTCTACTTATTCATTCACCTTCCATAGCCAAATTCTAAGCACGCTACTATCAGTGACTATTACGCACAGCTGACTAATTACTAACTTACTAACTTAGTTAAAAGGCTCTTTCTCATATTTTACCTCAGTGTCGTAGCCAGAATTTCATAATGTGAGGTCATAGTAAAAAACTGATGAATTTATAATTTTGGACTTTTATTTTGCTCATCACTCCTTTTTAGAAATGAATATAGTTATCAATGTGGGTAGGGTGTAAAACCTCCCTGACTATACTACTAATTCACCTACTTATATTTACGCTTATTTTAAATAATATAGTTGTATATTTACTTAACAATCTTGTATTGTTTATTTAATAACCAAACCCGGATACTTCGATATATTGCTCTTCAAATTATTGAAACATAATTATAATACCATATAAATTTCACACTATTAATTTGTTAATTTTAATTCTTTACTTTTTAAACAAATAACTTGATTATATTTTTATTTCTTATATATGTAAATAAAAAGCTAAAAAAATACAAAATTAGAATTGTATGAATGAAAACGGAATAATTTTTACATCTGGTTATTACTTATTTTAATTTTAACTAAACTATACTATAAACTGTAATTAAACTGATGAACTCCCTCTATTAAAAATATAAATTAAGGTTTCTCTAGGTATTATACTGATATGTTACAAATAATTTGACTTTACATTGGTAACTAATACTTTAGCATCGTTACAACATACATCAACATTACTTAGATTCGATTAGTAATCAAATTATAGAAATCTCAAGGTTCATTGATACATTTTTTTTAACATTAGTTACTCACATTTATCTATGTTTAGTAAACATGATAATGATATAGTGTACTATAGTATGTAAGTGTACAAAGGTCGACAAAATAATATTTCTCATAATTAGTTAGGCGAACTATAAATAATTTAAAGATATTTACTTATTGCATATATCATTCCAACTAATATTAAATGTAAGATTCTATAGTTTTGGTAATATTATTTTTACAATTTAAAATAATAAATAAATACAATTTTAATAATATCTATTCAATTCTCTGTTTTAATTATACAGCTTAATTGAATCATCTTTTGTACAGCGCAATTATACAATTTTTAGACACAACTAAATGAAAAATCATTAATCTAACACTAATTATAAATTTCTAGATCAATAGAAAATTTTTAAGTTCAAAGAACATAAATAATATAAATATAAACAGAACTATTATTGGTTAACATTAATTTTATTACGTTATTTGAATATTTACCAATTAAAATTATTTATAGTTTAAATAAAAATTATTAATTATTAGTAATTAATTATTACTAGAGCTCGGATGTTTATGACCAAAATTTAATGAAAATATGCATTTAAAAATGTAAAAATATGCAATTATATGCCTTGAAATATATTAAAAATACCAATTTTTCAATAACTATATGCAAAAAAAAAACCCAGCACAGTGGGGTCGCGGCATAGTGGGGATGTTGCATAGTTGGGTTCAGTATAGATTTAATCTGACAGTGATTAAAATCACTATCATAAGAAACGCTTCGATGCAAATCAGTAGATAGTGTTTAATTCTAAGAAATTGGTGGATAATTACAAAAGCTACATTATCTGCTAGTTTCTTATTAATACCCTGATTAAGATAAAGTATGTCGAATGAAAAAGGGATTATTAAAAAATATTATTTCTCATAAAAAAATTGTGTTGATTCGTACACTTTTCAATGAGTTATAGCATTATAAAGTTAAAAATGTAACCAACCCAACCCAACATCAACTCCTATTTCCTTAATTATATCCAGATTAGTAATTAGTTTAATTATATATTATATAATTTTTATAATTAATTATTTTCAAATTATTATTGATTTTTAATATGTTAAAAGTAATCATTTTGAACCTACTTCTTTTTGTTCTTTAAAGTGAAAGTTTTAATAAAAAAAAAATGAATTTATTACCATAACTTTTAACTCAACTTGCAAGTTTGAAATAAATATTATTAAATAGAAAAAAATGAAATTGGTAGATTATTTCAAAAACAACAATAACACTTATTCCCTTAATTTTACCCCGATTTATAACTATAATATATGAATACATAATAATTACAGTAATTAAATTGAGTATGAAAGTGGTATTCAATAATATAATATTGTAATTTTTACGGAGATATTATAAAAATAAAAAGGAGTTGTATATTCATATACTTTTAATGCGTATACAAATTTAAAGGAATTTATGCAATACTTTTTAATAAAAAAATTTTGTTACTTATGAATAAATACACTAAACAAAAGGAACTTTCATCAGAAAAAAAATATACTTTTCTAAATAAACTTTTCGTGATGTTTTCAAATGTGCAATTAAACTTTTTCTATTACTTCTAAGTTTTAATATTATTACTTATTATTAAAAAATAAGTATTTACATATAAAAAAAAATAATTAAGAACAAAAAAAATTGTATTAAATTAATACTGATTTTGATTTTTAATATGTTAAAGGTAATCATTTTGAACCTATTTTTTATTGTCTTTTAAAGTGAAAGTTTTAATGAAAAATACCTTCTCAGCTTCGCATCGAAGCTAAAAAATGAATTTGTTACCATAACTTATAGTTCAACTTGCAAGTTTGAAATTGACATTATTAAATTGAAAAAAATGAAATTTTTAAGATTAATATGCAATCTGGAAATTTTATAATTACTAATTACAGTACATTTGTCAGAAAAATTCGATTTTTTTACATTTTTATCGTAATAGATAACTGAAATAGAAAGAATAGTAATCATATCCTAATAACTTTTGGTGTTTAAAAAAATTCTGCAATTGAAATATTCAGAACTTAATTAATTTTAATAATTTACTTTAATTAAATGAACCAATCAAACCAAAGTAGTTAAAAAGATTTACTCAATTGAGCATATTATCAAAAATATAATTATAATTGTAAAACTCCATCGTTAACTTCAGGTGAAACTAAAAATCATTTTTTTTTTAAATTTATGATTTATATAGCAAAATATTACTAAAAAATTTGGCATATTATAGACTGGTAGTAGCACACAGAAATAGAGTTAAAAAATTAATAAATTATAAAGTAAAATTATTTACTTTTGTAGTTGAATACTTTTATCATATCAAATTTAATTCGACAATAAATAATTTAAGAATATTAAAAATTAATGATTTTAATTGTTTGTATGGACAAATCTAGTTAAGCTACTTTTTATTTGAATAAGGAATATTTTTTTGATTTTTAAGAGTAATAACTTAAACTAATCATTAACTTAAATATCATAAACTTAAATGAATCATTTGACGTATCGTTGAAAAAAGTAGGTCTAGTGAGGGTTGGCAAAATAAATCGTAGCCAGAAAAAGAACCACATAGTAAAATAATATTAACATGAATATCAATTTCTTCTCACGAGGGGAGACTATAGTGATAAGATCCTTTATATTTATTGAAATTATTGAATCTAAATGAGATAAATATCAAATGATTTGAAAATTCTATTCTAACTCAAAAAAAAAATGCAAAATTTTAGAAGCCACAAACGGATTTGAACCTCGTACCCTAGGCGTTAAAGATCAAGGTGTTACCCATTCGGCAACTATTCGTTGATTTTTGTTGCATGATAAAATTGGCTATTTAAGCTAACTCAAATTTAAAAATTACTTTTTCGACTTTAAAAAAGTAAAAAATGTTAATAAGTATAATATCATATGTCTTATGAACTTTATTCTATGTCAATGAAATTATATAATATTCATGAAAGTCAGTTTATTCCCCTAATAAAATATTTTAAAATAAAATAAAATACAAAACCTAGAATTTTAATAAAAAATAGCATATTTTTAAATACGGTAGCCTTTTGCGCATAGAAGATAGGTCGTCGGGACAAATTTTTTTTTTTCATTTAGTAGTACATAAAATAAGCTTTAATTTGATATATGTTTAAAGGACGCAGTATTTCCGGAACATTTTCAAAAATTAAGTTGAAAAAGTTAGTTTTTGTAAAAAAGTTGCTATTTTAAATCCCCCCTGTGAGCAGAATAAGTGTTAGATTTTCAAAAAAAAATGATATCAAATGAAAGAAAATTACCTAAGGTTTCAATATAAAGAAATATTATTTTGATTAGTTAATATTTGAAAAAGTTATGGCAGTTTTAAGTACAAAAAACATCGTTATAAAAGGTGATTTTTATCGCAAATATTACATTTTTTTTATAATTTCGACAGCCATTTGCACATAGAAGATAAGGTGTCGGGACAAATTTTTTTTTTTCATTTTATAGTACATAAAAAAAGCTTTAATTTGATATATGTTTAAAGGACGCAGTATTTCCGGAACATTTTCAAAAGTTCAGTTGAAAAAGTTCTATTTTTTATACAATGTTTCAAAGTTTGAACCCCCCCTATATAAGGGGAAATTGTCTAATTTTAATAAAAAGTATGTCAAATGGAAGATGTACTTATAATGTATTTAGAAAAAAAAAAATTGTGCTGATACATGCATTTTTCGAAAAGTTATAGCATTTTTAAGTTGAAAATTAAAAATTGAAAATCGAAAATTTTAACACAAAAATAGTGTTTTTTTAACTACGGCAACCGTTTACATGCAGAAGATAAAGTGTCGGGACAAATTTTTTTTTTTCATTTTATAGTACATAAAATAAGCTTTAATTTGATATATGTTTAAAGGACGCAGTATTTCCGGAACATTTTCAAAAATTAAGTTGAAAAAGTTAGTTTTTGTAAAAAAGTTGCAATTTTAAATCCCCCCCCATGAGCAGGTTAAGTGTTAAATTTTCAAAAAAATTATATCAAATGAAAGGAAAATATCTAAGGTTTTAGTTTAAAAAAAAATTATGTTGATTTGTTGATTTTTGAAAAAGTTATGGAAGTTTTAAGAAAAAAAAGTGAAAAAAATGACAAAATTTGTCGATTTTTAAATTTGTAATTTTTTTGGATATTTCCCCCATTTGCGGGGAACGAGGGAAAATTTTTAAATTTTTAAGGGTAATGTCTTCAACTAGATACAATTTGTGATCTTTTGACGTATTGTTAAAAGAAATCGGTCCAGTGAGAGCTGAGAAAAAGTAGTGACAGACACAAAAAAAAAAATAAACACATCATGGTAAAATTAATACCTTCTCAGCTTCGCATCGAAGCTAAAATACCAAATCAATAAAAATTTTTTGAATGATACATGAGATAATTACCTATTATTTTGTATATTTTTTTATAAATCTAGCCCTTTACTTACCCACGGGGAGGATTCAAAATGACAACTTTTTTTTACAAAATATCACTATCATTAAAAACGCTTCCATGCAAATCTGTAGATAATGTTTAATTTTAAAAAAATCATTTTTTTGAAAATCTATCACTTAACCTGCTTATTGGGGGGAGATTTAAAATAGCAACTTTTTTACAAAAATTAACTTTTTCAACTTAATTTTTGAAAATGTTCCGGAAATACTGCGTCTTTCAAACATAAATCAAATCAAAGGTTATGTTATATACTATCAAATGAAAAAAAAAATTTATCNAAATGTTCCGGAAATACTGCGTCTTTCAAACATAAATCAAATCAAAGGTTATGTTATATACTATCAAATGAAAAAAAAAATTTGTCCGACATCTTATCTTCTATGTGCAAATGGCTGTCGAAAATTAAAAAAAAATGTAATGTTTGCGATAAAAATTACCTTTTATCGGGATGTTTTTTGTACTTAAAACTGCCATAACTTTTTCAAAAATGAACAAATAAAAATAATATTTTTTGTATTGAAACCTTAGATATTTCCCTTTCATTTGATATAATTTTTTTTGAAAGTCTAACACTTATTCTGCTCACTGGGGGATTTAAAATAGTAACTTTTTTACAAAAAATAACTTTTTCAACTTAATTTTTGAAAATGTTTCGGAAATATTGCGTCCTTTAAACATATATCAGATTAAAGCTTATTTTATGTACTATAAAATGGAAAAGAAAATTTGTCCTGACGACCTATCTTCTATGCGCAAATGGCTACCATATTCAAAAATATGCTATTTTAACAAATTTTTTTTTTTTAATTAAACACTATCTACAGATTTGCATCGAAGCGTTTTTTATGATAGTGATTTTAATCACTGTCAGATATCATCCATACTGGACCCAACTATGCCACGACCCCACTGTGCCGCCACCTCACTGTGCTAGGTTTTTGAGTTAATATACATGTATAATACACATGGGATTGTAAATACAGGTAGCTAATTGGATTTTTATGACATTGCTGTCTCAGTCACGGATTGTTTATTATCAATTATGATTATCAATAGATATACTTTCTGTATTGTCAGTTAGTGTATTTATAAACTCATAACAATGTGCCTTACTACAATTGATAATAACAATGCTGTGTACCTGCTAATAAATTAACTCAAAATGATGAAACTTTAAATGTTTATATCTAATAAGCTAATAAAGTTATATAAAAAATTCAAAATTCAAAAATCACAAATATGATAATAATTGTTATTTAATAAGTAAAAAAATATATTTCCTTGTTTATGTATAAGGGGCCACCACATACCTAAGTCCGCCCCTGACTGTTTTTATTACTGTTATAGTTTTTTTTTAACTGTTGTTTATTTTTTTTTAATTGTATGTCTATTATATTCATGAGGCATATTTATTATTTTTATCAATTATATTGAGTACCTGAAATATAAAGATATAAGCACTTTAATCTATTTATAATTGATTATCATGACTAGCTAATATGATTACGAAACCCTAATAAAATTTTAAGTTCATTTTGCAGTAATAACGGTTGTTTTTTATGTACTAAAATTTGTTTATCTGTCCACTTATTGATTATTTTTTTTTTTCGAAAAACTTAGATTGTTTTCAATAGTACTTGACTCATTTATAGATCGTTGTTGAAAATTATAACAAACGGAAATAATTTATTGGTTAAAGTTTATCTTTTTATATCATTTCTGACCATTATTGTTTTCAGTTCCTTATGTAAATAAAATTTAGAGTGTATAAATTGAGTTTTTTTAAATGTATTCAAAGTAGTGTATGAATTAATATTTATAGGTATATTTGTATTATTTTCTAATATTTCTATTAAATAATGGCTCAATTTATAATTTTATCAAGTATTTTACTCGTATGTGTCTATTTAACTGAGCAAGTACACTTTCTTCAACCTGAATACATAAAAAATATAAATAAGAAAGCAACTACTTGGGAGGTATTGTATTTTTTACAACTGCATAATTTTATGAAATTTATTAAAATTCATTGTACACTGATAACAATTTTACAAAAATTTTCCATTAAGATTTGAATTTAACATAAGTAGAACATGAGTTCATAGTTACTAGACTATTTCGGTTATACTGTCAAAATCATAGAAGTTTACTAATTATAACATTTTTAAGAATTTGTGAAATAAGTATAGTATAAATAAAATTAATTACAGGCGGGTCAGAATTTTCATCCTAATACTACACTCGAGTATTTGAATCATTTATTAGGATCTAAAGGAGTTAGAGGCGCAAAGAATGGTCTGGTTAAGTCTCATGATCCTAAATACAGCAGTTGCCATCATATTCCAAAAAATTTCGATGCTCGTATAAAGTGGAAACAATGTGAAAGCATTGGTACAATTCGTGATCAAGGAAATTGTGGGTCTTGTTGGGTAAGTATTGTCAGTTATTACTGTATTTCAATATAAAAAAAAAATTGAAAATAAATCTATTGTAGGCCTTAAGTACCATCAGCGCCTTTTCAGACAGATTATGTATAGCTAATGACTATAAATTCAACAAAATGCTGTCAGCTGAAGAATTAACATTTTGTTGTGAACCTAGTTCTGGTTGCAACGGAGGTTATCCTATCTCAGCTTGGAGTTTTTTTAAAAATCATGGAGTTGTTACTGGAGGTGCCTATAACAGCAGTGAGGTAATTAAATTTTAATTTAGTACCAAATTATTTTTAGCTATTTGTGTAGCTGAGAAAATATTGGATTTACTCTTTCAAATTTTGTTTTTGTGTCCATATACACAATTACTCCCGCTCTTACTAGACCGCTTTTGCACAATGATACGTCAAAAGATTACAAAGCGTATCTAGTTAAAGTTATTAGCGTCATATTTTGAAAAAATACCCTTCAATTCCTGTAATTAACTCTTTATAAATATCTTAAAAAATTACAATTGTCATTAACAGTTAATGTTGATATTTTAACTTTTCACTTTATATTTATATATCATTTTGAAAATAGGCAGCTAAGTTTACTTCATTTCCAATGCCTGATATACACCTATTGGCTGTACTACATTTGGACCGGAGATATCAACAAAAAGTCGATAGTATTTTTGTTTTCCAACTATTGTAGTTAATATTTTTGAATGTTAATGCATTTATATCAGCTTCTATATGGACTGTAGTAAGGTAATAAGCATAAGTGGCATTGTTGTCAACTACTTTTTCTCACTGGACCGATTTATTGAATGATACATCAAAATATTACATATCGCGTATCTCGTTAAAAACGTTACCATCAAAAATTTAAAAATTTTGCTATGTTACTTGTAAATGAGGAAAAGACCTCAAAAAATGTTTAAAATCACTAACTTTGATATATATATTTTTTTTTACTTCTTTTACTTAAAACTTTCAGAACTTTAAACATAGGTATAGAAAGTAGAACTTTATCAACTTATCTTATAACTTTTTATAATTTCTCCGTAAAAATTACAATACTAAATTATATAGTAATTTACTATAATATATGGTAATTATATTCATGTTTTATAAATCATAAAATTTTTAATTAAGAAGTTAATATTGCTTTTGGAATATTCCAATATTTTAATAATAATTTTAAAAATTTCCAATAATTATTTCAAAAATTTAAACACCTACATATTTGCGAACCCCTGGACCAACAGGTCTGAGTGCATGGGCATTATGTCTACCTCGATAATAACTATTTGCGAACCCGAAGAAGTGCGTGTTACCGACTAGGCCACACCGTCTTTCTTATAAAACTAATAGCTATACAAAATACGTGTTCGTTAAAGGCTAAAATTGTATCATTGCTTGAAAAATGTAGCTTTTGTGACTTTTATGTCTTATTTAATTTAATCAAATTACATATGTGCTAAATTTTGTCAATTGAGTAATTAAAAGTAATTTATTGATAATTTTCTTCTAGGGATGTCAACCTTATCAAGTTGCGCCTTGTCTTCACGGTGAATCACCAGAAATCGAAGGTTCCTGTAAGAGCCAGCCATTAGAAAAGAACCATATGTGTCGTAAAGAATGTTATGGTGATGCAAAAATTGATTTCAAAAAAGATCACAAATATAGTAATACATAAAATCAAGTATTAAACTAAAAAAATCTTTCCTTTTTCTTGGATAAATTTAGAATATGCATTCCAACCCTAATTTTGTTTTATTAAATACTTACATTATTTCTATGGTTTTTAATATTTTCTTACCTGTTTACATAGTAAAATAACCCATACTGGTTTAGCACTTCTTCCCCAGTAAATATTCATACATTTTACTCAATTCATAAGTATACCGTATCTTTTTACTTGGTTATTTTGCTTAAATCGAAAACAAAGTCTAAAAAAGTTAGTACTTGATTTAATTAATTTTGCTTTTTAAGAAAACTGTACAGTCGGAGTACTCAATATTATAGGGAAAAACATAGATAGAACTTTATTGATTGAAATTTGACAGTGATTAAAATATTATTATAAAAATTTTCGATAAGATTATGCCTGAGGAAAATAAGGTGATTTTTTTTAGGGGGGTAAATTATTAACTGCATATGAGTTCAAGTTTACTCGCGATATAATCAAAATTATTATCCATTACGCAAGTAAACATTTTAAAAATCAAGCGCCAAGACTCATATACCCAAAAGAGATTTAAAATGCTGGCCCCTACCCAATTTTTTGCTCTAAATATACATTTTAGGTAAAAAATATCTAAAAACAGGTCATTCAATTTTTGGTGTCACTCCTTCAATTTAAAAATTATTCAAACGCGTTTTTAAAAATACTCCTAATTTTATTTTTAAAATGATTATACTTTCTGTTTAAATTGTCATAAATTGTTAAATTTTGATAAAATGTCTAAAATTAAACAATTTAAAGTGAAAATGTGATAATAATAAATTATTTTTTGTTGTTTATTTTTAACAGTTTTTTATTATACAAAAAAAAGTTATAAGCTACGCAAAAATTTTTCCCAAAAGCACGAACAATGTTCAAATACACTTAAAACTATGTCTGAATCTCCTAAATACTTTAATACTGTGAGCATAATTTAGTGAATACCTAATTTTATCATACTTCTTTTGTCGTATTTTTTTGGTAAAGTTTTATTTTAGAAGAACATTTTCCACAGTTAACTATCGTTTTTTTTAAATTTATTTTATCATTAGGCATATTTCAAAATGTTTAATTAGATTAGATTAGAGGAACTTAGGATTGACTGCATATTTCTTCAATAAAATAAAAAAATACATTTTAACTATTACTTACAATGCACAATCTCACTTTTCATAATTAGGTTTTTGGTTTATTTTCAAAAAAATTCCCGATAGAGAGAAAACTATCTATAATTTAACTTTTCAAAATTTTGAACAATTCAAATTTTTAAAAAAAATTGTAATAGTATTAAAATTCACATCATAGAAAAATGAATTTTTACTACACAACGTATTTGAACGTAAGTAAATAAAAATTAACAAAAATTTTGTTTAAAAACGTAACAAAAATTTGTCCATTGAACTTTTTCGTAAAATATACTTGAGTTTCATTTAATGTTTTTTGAAATAAATTTGTAGCCAAAAACTTTTACTATCTCAGTCCTGATAAAATTCAAAAAGATGTTCTAACCTATGGGCCAATAGAAGCATCTTTTGATGTTTATGATGATTTTGTAAGTTATAAAAAGGGTATGTATATAATAATTATGTGCAAATAAATTAAATTATTTCAAAAAATATAATTTTCCAAAATGATTGCATAGGTGTTTACGTAAAGTCAGAAAATGCCACTATATTAGGTGGTCATTCAGTGAAATTAATTGGTTGGGGTGTGGAGAATGATGTTCGTTATTGGCTGTTACTTAATTCGTGGAACACTGCTTGGGGAGATAATGGATCTTTCAAGATTCGAAGAGGTACAAACGAATGTGGAATTGAAGATTCTACAACTGCTGGTGTTCCTGTTGGTGGTTAATAGTATTATAATAAAACTTTGACATTTCATGATATTTACAATTTATTTTTTATATGTGATGTATAGTACAATTTGTTGAGAAATAAAATAAAATAAAAAATTCTGAAATAGTATAATATTTACACACTTAAAATTATGAAACTTCAAATAAAAAAAACAATGTGTAAGGATTTAAAAAATGCAATTTTTAAACATTTTTTAGCTTCGATGCGAAGCTGAAAAGGTATTTGTCTTACTATGATGTGTTTTTTTTGTGTGTCTGTTACCACCACTTTTTCTCAGCTTTCATCGAATCGATTTCTTTCAACGATCCGTCAAAAGATCACAAATCGTATCAAGTCGAAGACGTTACCCTCGAAAATTGAAAAAAATTCTCTTGTTCCCCGTAAAAAGGGGAAATCTCCAAAAAATTACAAATTTTAAATCGTTAATTTTCGACATTATTTCAATTTTTTTACTTAAAACTGCCATAATTTTTTAAAAAATGACCAGATTAATATAAATTTTTTTCCTATAGATTCAAAGATATTTACCTATCATTTAATATATTTTTTTTATAAATTTTCTACCTGCATACGAGGGATTCAAAATGACAACTTTTTCACAAAAAATTAAAACTTTTTCAACTTAACTTTTGAAAGTGTTCCGGAAATACTGACACTTTTATATATACCATAAATTAAAGATAATGTGATATACTTAAAAATTCAGACATTAGTTTGTTTTCATAATGAAAACTAACATCAAAGTTAATAAAAAAATATTTATATACCTCTTTCATTCGAAATACTTTTTTTTTGAAATCGGACCATTTCCTTTAATACAGGAGGGGTTCAAAACTTAAAAATGCATATAGAATGTAGAACTTTTTCAATTGTTTTTTTGAAAGTGTTCCAGAAATACTAACACTTTTTATAAATATATTAAATTATAGCTTATGTAACATACATTATTATGGAAAAAAGAAATTATACATTTTAAACTTTAAAATACAAAAAAATAGGTTAGAAATGATATTTTGCACCGATTATTTCTAGCATAAAAAATCAGTAATAATTTAAAAACAATTTCTTTTTCTTTTGTTTTTTAATTATTTTTTAATCGTTATAAATCATTTCTATGTAACTCTTACTGTTTAAATAGATGATACAATTGAAATATTCAGACTATTTTCCTTATAGTTATATCCTTTAGTTTTTAACTAGTTTTTAATTAGTAATAATATCAAAACTTATTGTTGATAAAATATAATAACTTATTTGAAAATAGCACGAAAAATTGAATAATATAAGTATATTTTTGACTCTGATGAAAATATTTTGTAGTCCATTTATTCATAATTAATAACAAATTATTATCTTAAAAGTTTTGTGTCAAGCCCTTCATACAAATTTATATTTGTTACAATGGTAAAAATTTTAATCCACACGTTTTCGATATAAATAATAACTACTTCATAATTTTTTATAAATTCTTAGAAAAAATTATAATACTAAATTATTAAATATCAATCTCATACTATATTTAATTGCTATAATAAATATTTATCCCTCTTTCATTCGGCATACTTTTTTTTAAAAATAACATCATTTCTCTTTATATATTTATATATTCATATATTACACTTATAAATCATAAAACTTGTAATCAAAATATAAATATGAAAATAGGAGATCCCGTAGCTTTTGGAATAATCCACCAATTTTTTTCAAATTAAACACTATCTACAGATTTGCATCGAAGCGTTTTTATGATAGTGATTTTAATCCCTGTCAGATATTATCTATATTTATACTGTTTTTTATTGTTAATACTTATTTACCTGATTTTTATCTATTTAAAATGGTTATATTTTTATAACTCTGAGAAAATAAAAAAGTAAGTAAATTATTCAGTATTTATTTATCAGCTACTCATCAAAGCTAAAAATAATGATTTTAAGATACATGTATAATGATTGTCTCAAAAAAACAAAAATAAGTGTGTAAAAATATAGTAAAAAAAAACAAATATTTAATTTTCAGCTACCAAGTCTTAATGTATCTTATACACTTAAAAAAGAAAGTATAGTAGAGATTCATTTAAGTGAAGTTGAGGTGGTCTTAGATTAGTGTTGACTAATTTACTGTAAATATTTTACAGTAATCAAAATCACTGACAATACATATTTAAAAAAAAATTATCGAATCGAAAAATTAAATCTTGTTAGACTTGTTTGAGTAAAGTGTTTAATTACTCATAGGGATTAATCATCTGAAAGTTTTTCTTTTTTTAATTATATACAACACGAAAATAACGGTAGCATAGTGGAGTCGTGGCACAATATGGACGTAGCATACACAGTATGTACGTATCATCTATACTGGACGTTAAGTCCAGTATAGATGATATGTGACAGTGATTAAAATCACTGTCATAAAATATGCTTCTATGCAAATCTGTAAATAGTGTTTAATTCTAAGAAATTGGTACATAATTACAAAAGCAGTATCAACTCCTTTTTCCTTATTTATATCTTTATTATAAGTTTTATGATATATAAATAAAGATAAGGTACAAAATCCATGGTGCTCCGGTTTTGCCATTGGCTTGCCTCAGTCCAAGATGGACCCTTTTTAAGTTCTTGTTAAGTTAGGCTGGTTTTATGAGTTTGGCTTACAAACTCTTATGTTTATTGAATAGCTTAATTAATAAATGATATATAATTCATAAAAAGTCATCACTTAAGCTACATTAAAATTTTTATTACGTAGATAAGAAAAATCGTTACATTATATAATGTAACATTAAGGTGGATCAAAAAAAGTTGATCTTTGAAATTTTAATGAGAACCATTTTAACTTTATTTTATACAATGTATAAAATGATAAAAGATTTTTAAAAAAAATTTTACTGGTCGCTCAACGTGTTTTTAGTATTTTGACCAAATATACCGAAAAAACTACCTCTGTTATTCAATATTTATTTAATATTATGATTAGTTAATCGAAATAGTTTAATTCTTACTGTGGAATACAAATTTTTTAGTTTCAAAATTTCATGTCAAAAATGGATAACGTAGATATGATATTCACGCTATCATTACATTGTATATTTCTTCAAGGTCTCAAGTACACTTAAAATAAAAGAAAAAAATGTTATGCAATTTGGCTGATATATATGTATATTATAATTAGGAAAAAAATTATTCACTAATCTTAAACTTATACCTTTTAACACGCTTATATTAGTTTTACCTGTAACTCTCCACGCGTCACGTGTTATTATTCTCGCGTTTCCGTCTTCTATAGCCTTGAGACTAGACTGTCGTAACGCATTCACCCCACCCCCTCACCAAAAGCCGGAAAACACTATTCCTGTATAATTTTATTTTTGGTTTTCGTATCCGTACACGAGTGTGTATTATCAATATTATATACAAANCCTCAAAAAAAATTGAATCTTTAAATGTTTATATCTAATAATAAGCAATAAAAATTTGTTTATACATATATATACAGGGTGTTCAGTAAGTCAGGAAACGGGTTTCTATTGTTCTCATTGTTTGTAACAATGAGAACAATAGAAACCCGTTTCCTGACTTACTGAACACCCTGTATGTATATGTATAAACAAATTTTTATTGCTTATTATTAGATATAAACATTTAAAGATTCAATTTTTTTTGAGGTTATATACATGTATAATATTTAAGGGAATAGAAATACAGGTAGCTAATTGATTTTTTATGACGATATATATAGCCTTTATTATCAATGGTCAAAAGACACATTGTTGTGAGTTTTTAAACACACTAACTGGCAATACAGAAGTTATATCTATTGATAGTCATAATTTACAATAAACACTCCGTGACTGTGCACAGTGATGTCATAAAAACTAAAAAGTGAAAAATAAATATAGTTAAAAAAAAAACTAAAAAACACGCTTTTAAAACATATTGAACCAAAAAGTAAAAAATAATTTTAAAAATAAGGTTAAAACAATAATGAACGAAAAATACTAGTATTATTGTGAAAAAAAGGGTGGCTTTTTGCCATTTTTTTTGTATATTGAGCGCCCGACCCTTCGAGTCTGACGTTGCCATTAGATGCTGAGTATTTACAGGAACAGACAGAAACAGGCACATAAAAATAAATAAATTTATTTATTTGAGATTTATTAAATAAATAAACACATCCAAAACAAAATTAATAGTTTCTCGGCAATGCATTAAAAATTACAAACATCTACATTTCAGTCAAAAAATTATTTTATATATCTTAATAAAAATGAATATTATCCGATTCATATATTTCTAATGAGTCGGAAGTTGTTAGCCATTCGTTTAAAAAAGCTCTTATCGTAATACGAGCTTTAGTTAATTGTGGAAGATCAGTAGAAGCTGGTGGATACATATTTGCACAATGTGCTGTTCCTAGAAAATACAAATTTCATCTAAATATGCCAATTTTTTTACAGAAATTATATTTAATGATGAAGCCTAACCATTTATATAAATTGCAGCCGTATTTGGAATTTTTGTCTCAGTTATACCTAAGGCATGCCATGGATCCACAGAACCATGAACATAAATTACTCTGTTTTCTTTTATGTTTAATTCTCCATACATCATGTTAGTTCTTTTTATTCCTTTAGACAATAACTCTGCATTGTACCTGAAAAATATATACAATTTCTTACTTTTTATTACCACTCTACTTTTAAAAGTAGGGAAGTAGATCCTATCTTGTTATTGGTTTTAACAATATTTTTAAAGTTTAATATCGCTAGTGTCATAAAACATAGTACGGAATTTTGCTATATTAAAACTTATTTTTATTGAGAAAAATATACAATCTGTACAATAAAGCATAATAAGTATATGTGATAAATAATACAAAATTAAAACAATGAACAAATGATAAAGAAATCACTCATCAGTGACTTTAATTTGTCAATCTTTTAATGATTTTGTAATCTGGTATGAAAGCATTTGTAAAATTGGACAACTTTTTCTCTTACAGTTTTTATATCAAAATCTTTATGCAAGTTAAAGTCTTATATATAAGGTGGGTCAATGACAATTTTTTTTTAGAACAATTTGTTCTAAAATTTTTGAATAGTGGAATTTTGTTATATTGAATTTTTTTGCATACCCCATAATCTTAAAACTAATATATTTTTTAATACTTCTTGTAAGTTTGATTTTAAACTGAATATTTAACCATCTTAAAAGTTAAAATCAATTTCTTAAAAAATGTATATTTAGCCTATTAATAATATAAACTCTATTTCGACTAGTTTCTATAATATACGCATAAAAAAACATAAGAAACTTACTTTTTTCCATAAATGTCTGAACACATATCAATAAAGAAATCAATAGGAAATTTATTTCCAAAAACATGTTCTTCTTGATTAGATGTTTGATAAAACCCAAATTCTGTACAAGTTTGATAAGTCCATTGTCTGCCTAAAAAAATGTATACATTTTAATATACATGCGTATATTAAGTCTTAAATATTTCAATATAAATTCCGTCATTGTATAATTAACGAAAATGGAAAACACTAATCTTTATAAACCTTTTAAATAATACATATATATATATGAAATTTAGTCAAAGCAAGAATACTATTGTTCTCTTACAGCCACAAGAATTTTTTAAACTGGGTTATTTACTCAGGGGCTCCTTAATTTTTTTAGTAAAACAAAGTCCATTAAACCCCAACTGACTTATTTTTGAAATATTTAAACCGTTTCATACTCAATTCAGGAAAAATTATTTATAATAGTACAATAATATAGACGCGTATACAGGTATGTCTGTAGTGCTTAGGTACTACTTGCTAAAAAACCATGGACGCGCTTATGTACTTAGTATAGTGAGATACTTATAAATTTAAGGTAGTAATTAAAAGAAAAAAGAAACTTGTTGACAATGGGAGTCTGCCTACTACATGTAAATTTTGGTACAACACCAGTCAAACTTTTTTAGACTTTAAAACGGGATATAAAATTTAATCAAAACATTTCCTCGGAGTAAAAAACCAGGGTTAACGTTAGATATGTGCAAGGTGTATCCCAGAAAAATAAGCTGACGACTAAAAAAAAGGTTCTTTTTTCATTAAAATAAAATTTTAATAAGAATCCCGAAAAACTATTTTGCACAAGTTCAAATAATTTATATAATGCACAAAAAATTTAAAAAAAACCACAATATATGCAACTTTTACATGATATCTTAATAACGTCCAATCAAAAACTTACATTAGTTACTTCAGTTATCATAAGCTCATTATATCTTTCGTGGCATTAGAATAAACAAATTACTAATAAATTAAAATAAAATTCAATTGAAAATAAAATTTTAAGATATATATTTTTATTTTATTCCAATTAAACACAATATTTTATCAGTTGAAAGGCTAAAAGAAGTATCATTTCATTCGCATGTACTCGTAGTAACACGTACTGTAACTCAAAAAATTGAAACTTTAAAGTTTTATATCTAATAAACGAATTAAGTTAAAGTCTTTTTTTGTAGTGGGTTAAGATAAAAAAATCATTCTGCATTCATATATACTATGTACTACAGTACATCAACCAAAGGTACTTGCAATCATGTTTGTATTATTATGGATATATTAAATTTTAAAAAAAATGATGTTTTATTATATTTTAGTTAAAATTATAATTAAAAACAGTAAAATTGTATGTACAAAAAAAACCTTTAGTATTGTGTTTAATGGAATACTTAAGGAAAAAAGAAATATACTCCACACATTTTAGTATTATTTTTAATTTTAGAATAAAAATATTTTTAGTATTGATATATTACAATACTGAAATTTTTACTGATAATACTTCAGGAATTTGTTTTGTCAATGACATTCTTTTTTAAAAATTCAATCATTAACCAAGGTATTACGGAGTATAATTATCATGTCAATATATATATATATTTTTTTTTCAATTTTTATTATGTTCAAAATAACCTGCCTTTTTTTAATATACATCAAATTAAAGTAAATACAACGTTTTTTTCCTCCATCGACCACCTAAAAAAACAGAAAGCCTCTTGCTGATCAAATAGGCTATCTAAGCTCTATAGTTAAAGAATTAAGTTCCCTACACCCAAAAAATGAAATAAATTTTTTTTTATTACATAAAAAAACATTTATAACTAATCCATCCCAAATAATTTAAAGTTAAAAAAAGTTTCTTTTTGTAGGAGGTCGTAATAGCTGGTAGTAACGTAAAAGCAAAAAAATAATAATAATCATGATATTATACATACCTCCTGCCGCTGATTCACTATTCCAAGATACATTTCTGTAGTTGCGAATAAAATTGTCATAAGTATAATCAGTGCAACTTAAGTTGTTCACAGATAAAAATTTGCTGTTAACTGCTGCGTATCCATCCAGCTAAATAAAAAAAGTCATGTAAATTTATTAACGACGCATATGTTTTAACTTTTTTAATATATACTATAAAATTTTGCTTTTTAAATGTTTTAATTAATACAAGTATAGCGTATTTACTATTGATGCACAACAAATAATATAAATAAATATTTAGTTATACTATTACAGTGTAAAAGATTACAAAGGCACTGGGATATCTATAATGAACTTTCAAATTTATTAAAGACAAACGGATTTTGTTTTTAACATTCAGAGATCATACTTATAAATAATTAATATAAAACTATTATGCGCAGAGAGCATCTTAGTTCAGATAAGGTATTCACTATAGTACGCATGATGCGAGGTGCTCATTAGGGCCGCAGCTCCGTTGATCGGTCTGAAGCGACTCAGAGTTGGACGGAGGACATGCGAAACGGGTGTCTCAAGAGAGGACATTTGCAGACATCATGTAGGGATCCCGACCGAACAGGCGCGTGCTTCACATGCAAAGCAGTGGGTCATCAGGCCAATGACTGCCCTAGAATAGCGGGAAGCCCGGAGAAGTCTACTTAAGGTATCTCCTGACCTCTTGGGATTTGTGTGTTCTGTGTTATGTGAATTATATGCCAACCCACAGCAAAGGCCTAACCCTTACCTCCAGGTGGTGCGACTTGAGCAATGGATCCCACACTGGGATCCGGCTAACGGGGGAGCAACGTCGTGTTATAACTCAGCTCTTGATTAATTTCGAACTGAGTCACAACACGACAGTGTGAGTTTTAATGTGACGTTGATCGCCCTGAAGCAATGCCTCATGGCAGTTCCAGGGCGTCCCACATTATGTTGACCGGGAAAAAAAAGATTTTTACTATAGGTTAACAATAAACCCATGGCGATTTCGTCCTCTACATCTTCAACTATTGTTGAACTAGTTTCTGGGGGACCCTAGAACCTTATCCCTGCGTAAGCCACTACATAATTGTACATGATTACATTAAACTCTGCTTCATCACCGCATAAAACAACAATTTAGACTGCAAGTCCGATAGTAGTTTCTCTCTGTGAGCCTCTCATCACTGTTATTATTCATTAGTAATTAAAACTAACATATTATAAGATTAAAAACGGCCAAACAAAACGAATCCTATAAAAATATAAGTTCATACTAGAGCTAAACATATTAGTTAATCAATAACTCGGATTAATTTTTTTTTACGTATTCTGATTGAATATGTTCGATCCGAATTTAATAAGAAATCTGTCAAATACATTTTCATTATAGAGGATATAAATCTTTAGAACCATAGTAAAATATGAGTGAATATAAAATAGGGACCCGTTTTTCATTTTTTTTATCGCCAAAATTAGGTTTTTTTTTTAACTCAGGTGATTCCATGAATAAAACTTAATTACACCACGAAAATTTCATACAAATTGATCAAAAATAATCTTGTATACAAAAATAATTTTGGGACAGTGAATTAAATTCCCAAAAAACTGGAGGTTTAAACACACAACACTTCCTTTACAAACCCCTAGCCTAGCATTATTAAAGATTTATAAGGGATTATCAGGATTACGATAAAAATTTGTATTGCTTAAAACAGTTTTATTCTTTGAATTCAATCGGGAAATCAGTCTCCGACTATACTTTTATAAACATTATAGATTAATTTTAACTTAAATATAATATAAAAAACAAAATGGCACAATGAGGACGTGGCATAGTTTGGTCCAGTATAGATGATATTTAAGAGTGATTAAGATCACTATCATAAAAAACGCTCTGATATAAATCTATAGATAGTGTTTTATTTTAAGAAATTGGTGGATTACTTCAAAAGTAAAATGATCTCCTATTTCCCTATTTATATCCTGATTACTAGTTTTATGATATATAAGTATAATATATGAATAAATATTTAATAAACTTAAATTTATATATTAAATAATTAATAAATTTAATGCAAAGCTGAGAAGGTTTTAATTTTACCACAATGTGTTTTTTTTTTGGTGTCTGTTATCACTTTTTCTCAGCACTCACCGAATCGATATTTTTCAACGATACATCAAAAGATTACAAATCGTATCTAGTCGAAGACATTACCCTCAAAAATTGAAAAAATTTTCCTCGTTCCCCGTAAAAAGGAGAAATCTCCAAGGAATTACAAATTTAAAAATCGCTAATTTTTGGCAATTTTAACATTTTTTTTACTTATAACTGCCATAACTTTTTTAAAAATGACCAAATCATATAAAAAAAATTTTATAGATACATTTAATAGGTATTTACCTATTATTTTGTATATTTTTTTTATAAATTTGACCCATTACGTGCCCACAGGGGGGATTTAAAATGACAACTTTTTCATAAAAAATTGACTTTTTCAACTTAACTTTTGATAATGTTCCGGAAATATTGACACTTCTGTATATATCTTAAATTGAAACTAATGTAATATACTTTATTTTGAAAAAAAAAATGTTGACCTCTGGACTAGAAATTTTATGATAAAATTAAAACACATCATATTAAATTTAATGCCTGCTTTAATTTTTTAATTGTTTTTTAGTTCACCCATTCAATCTACTGTTAAGAAGCTTTGCTTCGCTCGTGTGTCAAAAATGAGACATGTATTTTTTTACATTACCGGAGAATGTCTTGATTCATCAATCATGATATCACATAAAGTTTCTAATGTAAGTTTACGTCTTTCAGTAGTCACACTTAATCTATTATCCTTGTTATACTGAACTACTTCAGCAAAATTCCCTGCCAATGTTTCAAATAAATTTGAAACATCTTTTTTCTTGCTAATATCCAATGGATCACATAATCTAAATAATTTTAGATTAATATTAAATATAAATTTAATTAAAATAAAATTTTAAACAAATCGTTGCCGTTGTGAAAAAATAAGATTTTAATTAATTTTTTTTTATATATATTTTAAGAAAGCTCTTAATATACACAAAAAAAAAAATTTAATAATATAATACTTGCATAGAAGTGGACAAATTTTTCTAGGTTTTTAACCTCAAATTATTGTTAAGAAAGTAATAATAATTATATTATTTCATGCACCACAACGAAAAATAATAAAGATAAATAATAAAATAATTCAAATTACTTGAATTTCTTATTAATATAATTTGTATTTTTATCGCTTGTAACCAATTTACTTAACATTTGATTGGCATTTTTAATTTGTGTTACACATTCTGGTTTATATCCAAATAATGCATCTTCGACCACTTTAAAGTACTCTAAAAATGCAAATATCAGTTGATAAAAAAAATGATAATTAATAATTGATATACATACTATGTAATATGTATAAATAAACGAACACAAGGTACAGATTATGCAATGTACGTAAATATGTAGCATTCTACAAAATAGTACTACCCAGCATACCCTAAAATTAATTTTTAGAATTTTTCTAGTAATTTCTAGAACTTTTTTATTTTATTTTCACTTAAAATAAAAATATAAAATATTTCTTATAAAATTGTTTTGTACAAAAAGTTAAGTCACTATTAATTTTAATTGCAATTTTTGACATTAATATTATAATTCGAGGCATTAATTGTAGTTTTTTCCAAAAGTTAAGTGACTTTATTATAAATAAGAATTACAATATGTCTTGTGTAATAGTTGTTAGTTTTAGTTGTTATAGAGGTGGGCAAGAACTCCATGCACTCAAAATTGTAGATCCATTGTGCCTACCAATATTAATTTATTATATTAATTGATTTCTTTACATAAGTGTTTCTGACGAAGTGTTGTTACCGTTATTAAATAACTAATTCTATAAATAGGACGTCGTACTAGACCATACCTATTTATATTCAAATAGTCCTGTCTCTCTGGCGAAATTAAGTATCTCTTTGAATTTTAGGCTTTCGATCTTCTTTTTCGAGAAAAAATTTCCCTAAATATTTGGATCTTTATGTGGCCAGAGTTTCACGTTCACACATGTGAAATGAATCTTCTTCTTCTGTTCCACACTTTCTGCATAGTGCCGATTCTGTCACCACAATTGTATAAATATGTTTAAGCAGATGACCATATTCTGTAAGTGGACTAATCAGAATGTTTATTTGATGCCTAGTCGTGTTATTAAAATCTCTCTATAGGAGACCAGGGTCTTGATAAACATTTTTGATTGTCTGGATATCCCAACGTAACGACCATAAATTCTCGTGTTGTTCTCTACACCAGTTTTGGGGCTGTTCTGTTTTGTAATACTGTTTTTATTTTAAAAATGTCTAAATTTCAATTAAAAAAAAAAAAAAAAAAATATATATATCAATTTTTATTCTTCTAAAGAAGAACCGTTCTATACGAGCAAACATATTATGAGTAAATAAGTTAATTAAATAAAGTTAATTAAAAATCAATTGAAACATGTTTAAGGTTAGTAACCTTGTGTCAATCAACATAAGGGACACCGACCCTAAGATTAAAAATTGTTACTATTACGAATTAATAATAGATTATTAACAATAACGCTATTACCTACCATAAAAATCTAATTTTGCTAAAAGAGGACCACTTGAAGAAACAGCTGCATGCACTAAATGTGGGTATTTCATTCTTAACCAAGCAGCTAATGATCCTGGATATGAACCTCCAAAAGCTATCCATTTTGAAGAGGCCGAAATATTTAACTGAATTTTGATATCAACAATGAATTGAGCTATGTCAGCTAATGCTTGTTCGCTACTTAAATAAACTAAATTTTCGGAGCTCATATCACTAATAATAATAGATAAAATAATTTGTATAACATTATTTCTGCTAATAAAAATTATAATATAATAATGACCTATTTAAAAATACCTAGCACAGTGGGGTCGCGGCATAGTAGGAATGTGCCATAGTTGGGTCAAGTATAATGCTATCTGACAGTGATTAAAACCACTATCATAAAAAACGCTTCGTTTCAAATCTATAGATAGTGTTTTATTTTAAGAAATTGGTGGATTATTTCAAAAGTAAAATGATCTCTTATTTCAATATTTATATTTTGATAACAAGCTTTATGATTTATAAGTGTAATATATGAATATATTTATATTTATAATATATAAATATATAAAGAGAAATGGTCCAATTTAAAAAAAAAGTATGTTCCATAAAAGAAGAATATAAATACTACTTCTCATGAAAAAATTGTATTAATCCATACATTTTTCAAAATGTTATAGCATTATAAAGTTAAAAATATAAAAAAGAATTTTTTTATTAACTTTGATGTTAGTTTTTATCATGAAAACAAACTAAAGTCTAAAATTTTAAGTATATTACATTAGCTTTAATTTAAGGTTGGGTCAAAAGTTAAGTTGAAAAAGTTGTCATTTTGAATCCCCCCCGATAAGGTAAAGGAATAAATTTATAAAAAAATATATCAAATGATAGCTTTTGGAATAATCCACCAATTTTTTAAAATTAAACACTATCTACAGATTTGCATCGAAGCGTTTTTAATGATAGTGATTTTACTCATTGACAGATATCATTTATACTGAAGATCCTACTATGCCACGTTCCCACTGTGCCGCGACCCCACTGTACTTGTTTTTTTTATGTACAAATTTAACAAAAAATAGTTATGAGGAAAAAAACAAGATCATCAAAATGCTATGGAAGGTACTTTATTCGTGAAAAAAAATTGTTATACCCCCTATTATATATGTTTAAATACCCCCCTGTAAACACTACTTGTAAATACTTCACTGAAAATATTTTAACCTTATTATTTTTTAACTTTTAAAAACTAAAATGATGATATCAAAATAAATATTTCATATATCAAAGTTAAATTACTCAGTAGGATGACTTTTTCCATAAAATCTATGTTCTAATTGAATACATAATGCATTAAATTCTTTAGCATAATTTATCCAAGCTCCATTAGTCATCCATAAAGCTGAAATTTCACCTTCACCGCCAATCATAAGAAATATGGGACCTCCTTCTTTGTAATACTCAGTATTAATTTGGTATCTCTAAAATAAATAATTAAACATGATTTAAGATAAATATTGAGAAGTTAATTTATCTTATATACATTTTTATTTCTGTAAATTAGTTATTATACACTTTAAAATATATTTACATTGTTATTAACTACGATGGTAAGCTGAAAAAAGAAATTTGTTCATAGAACGTGATCGAAAACAGTAGGGATTAGGTAAAAAATCTAAGTAGAAATCTTCAGCAATCAGAGATATAAATTCCAGTCTCTTCATCGACGACCTAACCTCGGAGTGAAAATAAAACCCAGCACAATGGAATTGCGGCATAGTTGGGACAAATATAAATAATATCTATTAGTATAAATATACAAGCACTTGGTGTACAAAAATAATATGAGGATTAAAAATTATGATTTTTCTGCTTTTTACTACGTTGACTATAGTCATTAAATACATCTTCAAAAACTAAGATTTAAACTGAATAAAAGGAAAAGAAGACGTAGTGTTTCTAGAAGATAATATCTATAAAGATAAAATTGTAATAAATTCCAAAACATTTCAGAACATATCAAAAATTAGGTAATATATTTAACAAGAATATCAAGGATTTTATAACGAAATATTGAACTAACTTATATACCAACTTTGATTGAATCTGTTAGTAATGATGATGATATTAATGAAAAGTGTGAAAACTTAAAAATAGTTAAATATCTATTTATCTAAGTTATTAACATTAATAATTGTTAGTTAAATAAAAACTTATAATTAATAAAATTAACTGTTAAATTAATTAACAGTCATTATTATTTTTATTTCAAAATAGTGATAATTTTGAAAATATAGTTGTAATTAAATTAGATACAACTACAATAATTAATTTGACATCAAAATGTATTATTTTTAAAAACTGTACGTCATTGGGTTCCCATAACTAATTTTAAGATTTCTTTTAAATATGGTAAAAATATACAAAAATTGTTGAGTTATATGTTGGCATTTGAATATTATTTTATTTCTTATACTCCCTAACTAAATAATACATAATTATAATTTAAATATTACCTGTTTCCAAGTCCTATTATCGATAGGATTAAAATGATCTAATTTTTGTTCAAACCATTCGTCTGTAATATGTTTGGCATTATTTATGTCCGGACTATTAGGTTCTCCTAGCCCAATCAAAAACCGACGCGATTGAGTTGCTACATTCAACCATACGCAACATAAGAAAGTAAAAGTGATAAATCGCATTTTTGAAAATTGTAAATAATATAGAACTATCTAAAAACAATATAATTTATATTAGTACAAAACATTTCTTTGTGAAATTTAAATAATTATACTAAAAAGTAAGAATATATATACAGCGTGATTTTTTTATCATAACCCACTCAATTAATTGCAGAATAAATATAAATTGTAAATTTTTTTTTTTTAGTTTTCTTTAATTACACATTATTCATAAATTATTAACTATATAATACTTTTTAAGTTCATCCCTTATGCCTTGTAAGGGTGTCAACTTTGTTTTTTTAAATGGAAACATATATTTTGAATTTAATAAAATGTTTGTGTTTTTAATTTAATAGTAAATGGCATTTGACTTTTTAATAACTTTATTAGTTTATTAGATATAAATATTTAAAGTTTTTAATTTTTGGGTTAATATACATGTATAATGCGCAAGGGATTACAAATACAGGTAGCTAATTGTTTTTTTATGACGTCGCTGTCACAGTCACGAAGTGTTTATTGTCAATTATGACTATCAATAGATATACTTTCTGTATTGTCAGTTAGTGTATTTATAAAATCACAACAATGTGTCTTTTTAATTGATAATTGTTTAAAATTGTGACATAAGAGCCAAAAATTTTCAAATTTATTTAAAAAATTATTCTAGATATTTCAATTATAATTTTAACTCTTCAAAAATCGATTTCCTGTAATAACGATAAAATCTGACCAAATAATTACATTTAAAAATGAATGGTATTATGCTCTCGTTCCATTTATTCCTCTTTTTATATACCTAACTTTTTACTTTTCATTTGATAATAAATCTACCAAAAATATCTGTAAATAGTATTTTTTCTCGAATGTTTTTATTATTACAACATTTCTAATGACTATTTAATCTAAACTGACGGTTCAGTATCTGGTGATTCAGTAGGTGCTCTATTTTAATTTCAAATTTTAATGTTAATTTTTCAAATAAATTACTTTCTTTTTGCTTCTCTTTTACAGCCAAAATTATGGTATCATATACAGTGTCCCACCAAGTTTTGACATTATAAAAAACTTATGATCCAAGAAATATTTTTCGTTACTCTTTTTAAATAACTTTTATAGTTTTTGACTTAATTGAAAGAATTTTTTTTTTATTACTATTTGTGTATAATAAAAATAAATAAATAAATTTTCTTTTTAATTTTAAAATAGTGCCGTAACACAATAAGAGGGAGGTGTAAATTTAATGCTTACAAAGACGAAAATGAGGATGTGGTGCCTGCTGTCTAGGTATTCACGTGCGTGTTGTCGTACAGCAGTCACCGTGCTCGGCTGACACTCCGGGTTAGCTGTGGGTGTTGTTACAGGAAGGGAATAAGAGTAACACCTAGGTATGAGGTGCAGACGAAGTGCAAGACACAAATACCAGATGTACACAAAAGGAGCCCAAAGTATGAGGTGCAGACGAAGTACAAGACACAAATACTGGGCGTACCATATAAGGATTATAACAAAGTACGATATGCAGACGAAGTGCAAGACACAAGTACTTCAAAGAGAGAACGCAGTAGCCAAGTATGAGGTGCAAGACACAAATACAAGGCGTACCAGGTAAAGAGTATAACAAAGTATGAGGTGCAGACGAAGTGCCATACACAAATACTCTGAAATGTTGTGGAAGAGAGTAGATAGGTTTAAAAAGGAAAAAACAAAGACTTTACTTTAAGCAGTAAGCCGGACAACGACAACCGAGTACTGAGACTGATGAATGACACACAAGGCACTGGAGTCGACTGACCACGATGGTCAGATCTTTTGGGTTTTTATAATAATTTGAACTATTGCTAATTTGGCAATAGATATTATTTATTAACTCATCAGTCTCAGGAAGCGGATGTGCTGTCTGTATTTTATTAAAATAATTCTCACAATAATGGTAACGTGACACCATCACAATAGCTATTTTTTATTTTTTTCTTACAAAAAGTTTTTATTGGTCAATAACGACTTTAACATAAGTATTTAAATGCTTGTAACTCAATAAGTACTTGAATATCGAAGTTAATGCATTATAAAAATCAAGTTACTTTCTAAAGTAATGATATTACATTATAATTGATAACAATAAAAACATGAAACATTATATAATTATGTGACTTCTATTGGATAATTTTAAGAAAAAAATCTCCTTTTTTTCATGTGTTAAGGTTAGAAAGGTCTATTTTTATCTTCACTTTCTTGTTTTTTTTTAAATTACAAGAATGAATAATGAAATTTTTCGAATATTGATTACATATCAGTAGCTTCTTTGGTACAATTTTAAATGAGCACTGGGTGAAGTCCATTAAAAGTTGTCAATCTTCATTTTATGAGCTATTAGTAGGATTTTCAAAAGTAGTAAATTTTTAGGTCCGAATTTTCCTTTTTTAGAGTACATAATTTCTCTTATTATCTATACTTTATACAAGACTAAATTTAATTTAAAAAATTTATTTGAATAAATAAAAATAACTACATTAAATACGAGTATATAATAGTGTTTCATTAATATAAATATAGTTCAGACTATATTTGCAGGTTATGTCTAAGGGCAGGGCGTGTCTACATAAGGGACTACCAAGGCAATTGCTACAGGTGCCCCAGAAACTTTTGAGGGCGTCATAAGTAATAAACCCAATAAATTTCGGGAAAAATATATGTATTATTATTTAAAACTATATTTTTGTGTCCATTAGTGCAAGATAAAAATAATCATCTCTAAACCATAAAATATGGTTTATATAAAATTAATGAGAAAAATCTGAGTATAGAATGAGATTGCAACAAAAAAAATTAGATTTTACACAGTATATTGTATTCTTAAAAAAAATATATATTACTATTATTACATGCTCTTATTCACAGTGAAAAAATTTGTATATTCTGTATTATTATATTTTGTATTAATTTAATCTGTTATTTCATAACTACTATCATAGTCTAAATTCATTAACATATTTTTTTTATTAGTTAGGATTAGAAAACACAGTCTTTAAAACTGATTGAACAATATATTAGTCACATAAACGCCATATATCAAACAGCACTAAAATATTTTAAAGATGATAATTCTCTATGGAAAGAATATATAAAATTTTTGGTCAAAGCAATATGAATTTTTATATTTTATTGTTAATTCATAGTTTTGCTAGTATATTAACGACAAGAAATCAATTTTTTTATATTTTTACCTAGAAACATTTTAGATTGTTGGTATATGAAATTGATAGTGCTTTATTATAAAAAAAATGTATTTAACATTATTTAAAATTATGTTCTAGAGTCCATTAATGCATGATCAAAGTAATCATCCCTAAACCGTAAAATATTTAATAGTTCTTTAATTATAGGTTTATTAAGCATATTTACACAAGAAAAGTTAAATAATGACTTACTTACTTTCTACATTACCTAATTTAACTTAAAAAATTTATTTATATAAAAAAACATATATAATTATAATTTATACACTAAAGTCAAAGATTTAACAATAGCAACTAAATTGAGTAGTATACAGTCTCATATACAATAACAATAAAATTCACATTTTTAAATGTACAAATAACTGATACAATGATAAAATATTTTGAGTACTTAAAGTAATTAATTGGAGAGTTAATCTTATCAAAAGTTAATAGAATAATTAAATAAAACTTCTGAATCTATCTTATTCAATTTAAGTAGTACAAAAATTTAACTATTATAAGATATAAATAGATTCCACTAATTATTATCTATCAACTTTTTAGATTTATACAAATAGGCGTAATTTTAACAAAATTTTTGTGTTGATAGATATATTAATATACATTTAAATATTAATTAATATACATATAAAAAAGAATACAAAAAAATTTCAGGTCGATCAAACAAGTTTAACCCGTGCCGACTTGGGGTTGAAAACTAGTTAAAAGGGGTAGTTTTTCAGTTATTTGCCATTGACTCGTAAATTAGTGCTCTCACAAAAAAATATATAGGAAATAAATTGTAGATATAAATGTTGTGTATAACTTAAATTTCTATAATTTTTCTTCTAAACCCACTAGTTTTCTAGAAAAATTGAAAAATAAGTATTATTTTGCAAAACTGTCGAAAATGGGATATTTACAAATATTGAAGTAATATTTCATATAAAAATTTTCAAATTTTAATTTTCTAATAAAAAAGTAATGAATAAAATTTTCATTGGGGTGATCGTTTTATTTTTTTAACATGATTAATATTTATTTTTACAAAATATATGAGTATTATTGGTTAAATTTTTTGTAGTCAAATCTGTTTATGCTATTACACACCAAATTTAAAAAATACCAACTGGAAATGATAATTTTATCATGTTTATTTTAATTTTAAAGAAATTATAATTACAATTCTGGTACTTATAAAAAATTATTATTGGGGATATTTTCTTTTGAGTTTCTTTGTTCAAATTTGGGTATAATTTTCTATGTTTTTGAACACATCGTAACAAAAATTGTTTTTGCTCTTGTTTTTTCATGGTTTGATTACAGTCGAAATGTAATCAAACCATGAAAANTTAAAGAAATTATAATTACAATTCTGGTACTTATAAAAAATTATTATTGGGGATATTTTCTTTTGAGTTTCTTTGTTCAAATTTGGGTATAATTTTCTATGTTTTTGAACACATCGTAACAAAAATTGTTTTTGCTCTTGTTTTTTCATGGTTTGATTACATTTCGACTGTAATCAAACCATGAAAATCTTGCATCAACTGAACAGCCTTTTCAGCAGTATCATTTACAGCTTTCAGGATTGATACAGTTTTATAGGCTGCTATATATGAGGCATTTGTCACTCATGATAATAAAATTATTTACAGTTATCATTAAATAACAAATCATATTAAAATATACACGTTTATCTTTCATACTAACCGTATAACGAATCGCCAAGTTCTTCCTTTGTCGGTATGTATCGTTTTCCAAATGTACATTCACTTTTTTTTGTTAAATTTAGCTTCGATGCGAAGCTGAGAAGGTATTGGTTTT